GAGCAGAGGAAGGAGGTGGCAGTAGGGTGTTAGGAGCAGAGGAAGGAGGTGGCAGTAGGGTGTTAGGAGCAGAGGAAGGAGGTGGCAGTGGGGTGTTAGGAGTTGACATCCATGCTGAACGTCTCAGTGTATCCAGCTGGAAATCGGAGGATCAGGCCCATCTCCAACGGCGATGGGATTACCGCGGCAACTGGCCAGCCGGCGAGCTGGAAGCGTGACGTGGGCCTCCTGGCAGGCGCCCTGCCGGTTGGCATCACCGCCAAAGTCAGGCTAGCTACGGCGAGCATGCCAACTCGGACACGGCAAAAGGAGGGCGAGCTGCTGAGAGCTTTGTGTGCCTACCTCAAATATCATGGCCTGGCTGCTAACTGGATAGTTAGCATCTGTTTCACAAGAATGAAATATTAGGTAACGCTTTACATTAAGTACACCTTCATAATGCATTCATACAACATTCAGTGCACCTTCACAATGCATTCATAATGCATTCATAGAACATTCATAAGCAGCATGCAAGTACACCTTAACATCCTAACATCCCTTAACAGCTTTAATATACATTAATAACAAACATTACATGATTATACAATTATAATGTTTGTTATTATTATATAATGTTTGTTACTAATGTATATTACAGCTGTTAGGGGATGTTAAGGTATACATGCATGGTGTTTATGAATGTTTTATGAATACTTGATGAATACATAATGAAGGTGTACTGAACGTTTTATGAATGCAATATAAAAGCATTATGAAGGCGCAGTTAATGTAAAGCATTACCAAATATTATAACTGATGTGTATAAGTAATGTTACGAAAGGCAACCAGAGGCGTTTCTTCTGGTTTTTTCTCTTGTTCTCTCGCACCCCCTAATCAAATGCTGCCATAAGTGATCGTCTATATCACCTATACAGGGTTGGGCAGGCCCCTCACGATCTGGAAACACCACATTCAATCTTTTGCTCTCCTTGGCGAGTGAAGCAAGCATGTAAGAGGAGTGAAGAAGCGTGAGATACAAAGATCACCGCGAGATCACTGTGAGATCACCGCGAGATCACTGTGAGATCATTGTGAGATTATTGTGAGATTATTGCAAAGGATTACATGAGAGGCTGCTGTAAACATGTTTGGGATCCCCTGAACCAGCACTGTACAGGGATTTTATGCACTTACGAGTTACTAAACTTTCTGCATGTCGTCTGCTGGCCTTCGTGTGTTGTCTGCGGCTTTTGCAAAACTCTCAAAAAAATTCCCATTTAATTTCTTATGCTGGCACGGCAATGGGGAAAGTCGCGACGCAGAAAAGTCAGCTGTGGGGGGGCTAAATCGTCCTTAAAACGGCTCTACTGCTGCCCTGGCTGTACACCCTGGAGAGGACGCCGGTCCATTATAAGGCGTACGCTCTCACTCACAGGCTATGGGCAATTTAGAGACGTCAGTTAGCTTAAGTGGGTCTTCTGGACTAAGTACAACACAGTGAGAACCTGGGGGCTCGTTTATGGAAGATTCATATGAATGGAAAAGACGAAAAACATTTGGACGCAGAATTATGTGAAGATTATGGGATTTATAAAGAAAAACTTATCCTGGAAAAGTTTGCACATTTACGATTGGTCCAGAACAGTCGTATGAATGCTTTATAGGTAACAGAGAATAGTGGCATCAGACAGTGATGTGCATCTAAGTTCCATTTACAGTTACTTTTAGCGCTGTTACTTTACATCTGATATACAACTAACATTGAGCTGTTGTTTTTTTGTTTTAAATAATTTTATACATATTTCAATATTTTTATTGCATAGAATCTAAGTTAGAAGTGTGTGTCCTGAAAAGTGATTATAGGCACCAACACATGGTCACCTGCATGACATATACAGTATAATCCCGTTATAGTGGACTCGCTTATAACAGAATATCATCTATAACGGACGAGGTCCACTGGTGCCGGCCGTGCGCCTTTAAGAACATGCAGAAAAAGCATCGGATATATTGGACTCGCTTATAACGGAATATCGTCTATAACGGACAAACAATTTGGTCCCCAGGGCCACTTTTAGCTGTAGTTTTGTTCGGCTATAACGGACATGCAGCTCCGCCTACAAGGTGCGTGGCGTGCCGGTGATATCCAGCGCGGATACGTAGTCGGGATTATTAATAGTCACGCTCTATAAATAGGCATGGCGTAACAACAGGCAACACTGATTGGTCTGTGTGGCTGTCCGTCACCAGGCACGCATACATTGGCCCTGGCTCATGAACGACCTACCTTACAAAACCACGCTGTTCCTGTCCGAATATAAGTACCGACAAGACTTGGATTTTTCTGGACAGGAACATACCAACAGGAACAGACTGGGAGATATTGTTTCATTCCATTACTGTGCAACTCATCTGTTACATCAACATATTAAGAGCCATCAATGTAGGTTGTTATAAAAACACAGACACACACACGCAGACACAGACACACACACACACATACTAATCAGTCTCATACTCACATAAGTTAATAATAGGCCTAACTGACATTCACTCTGAAACTAATTTATCACAGGTAGCCTACGTCTTATAAACAATTCGTTAATTAAGCGCATGCTGAATAACGACTCCCTCAGAGACATGATTGTATCATGCAGATAGTGAGATCTGTTGGCTACACCTCCATGATGTGAATCTCCTGTTCCAGCACATCCCATAGCTGCTCTATTGCATCACGATCTGGTAACTATGGAGGCCATTTGAGGACAGTGAAGTTATTGTCATGTTCAGGAATCAGTCTGAGATGATATGAGCTTTGTGACATGGTGTGTAATCCTCCTGGAAGTAGCTATTACAAGCTGGGTACAGGGTGGTCATGAAGGGATGGACATGGTCAGCAATAATACTCAGGTAGGCTGCGGAATCTAAACGATGCTCAGTTGGTGATATGGGGCCTAAAGTGTGCCAAGGAAATATCCCCCAAACCATTACACCACCACCAGCAGCAGCCTAAACTGATGAGAAATTGTGGGATGGATCCATGCTTTCATGTTGTTTACGCCAAATTCTGACCCTAATATCTGAATATCACAGCAGAAATCAAGACTCATCTAACCAGGCAACGTATTTCCAATCTTCCAATGTTCTACTTTGGTGACCCTGTGCCCACTGTAGCTTTGGTTTCCTGTTCTTAGCTGTCATGAGTGGCACCCGGTCTGCTGCAGCCCATCTGCTTCAAGGTTCCCGTTGTGCGTTCAGAGACGCTCTTCTGCACACCTTGCTTGTAATGAGTGGTTATTTGAGTAACTGCTGCCTTTCTGTCAGTTTGAAACAGACCGGCCATTCTTCTCTGACCTGTGCCATCCACGTGGCATTTCGCCCAGAGCTCCGCCGCTCACTGGACTTTTTTTTCTTTTTCCAGCCATTCTCTGTAAACCCTAGAGATGATTCTGTGTGAAAATCCCAGTAGATCAGCAGTTTCTGAAATATTCACAACAGCCCATCTGGCACCGACAACCGATGCCACGAGCTGTATGCCAGAGTTTTCATATAAAAGTTTTCCTTTGACTAATATTTACATGTCTAACTCACAAGAGACAGCGGTCACCCACATAAGTGATGGCGTTTAACCTCATTCGACCAGCCACCTAGAGAAGAATGCTAGTTTAACGGATTTTAAAGTCAGCCATTTTTAAAAACATTATTATTGTTTCTGATTGGTCCAGCTTGTTGGACAGTGGCAGACACACGCTGTCATTTGACAGCTATCTTTTTGTTTGCCGTTCCTCTACTTCAGACACTATAAACTCAAAAACAGCAGCCTCTCATGTAAACTCTTTTTTTCCCCCTCTTGTTTGTGGTTCCGTTGTCTCTGAAATGGTATTACAAACATATTATATGCTCCTTTATACATATGCAGGGTCAGTTTACGGTAATTTCTGGGTGGGAATGGGGCGCTCTCTTAGGCACCCACAAATCTGGAAGTCTCTATAATATGTGGGATTTATAAGCTGTAGAGTGCGTATCGCGGTTTACACAAGGTTTTGTAAACTTTTACTGTGCGAATGAGAAATGAGTTTTCATAAGAATGTTTCCTCTTCCACAAGAATGTAAGAACATTTTTTCATAAATGAGCCCCTTGGAGAGAGAAGGCAACAGTCAAACCCCAACTGTGGAGGTGTGAGGCTACAGTGCTGGCTACTGAACCACCAATTTATTATTATTATTATTATTATTATTATTAACTCTGTTCAGATGCCTGTCTGTATATCATATTATATCAATGCGCCCATAGGGGGCGCCGTGTCGCACTTACGTCCTGGTTGCTCATGTCCCAGTAGGGTCGCTCGCCAAACGACATCACTTCCCACATGACGATGCCGTAGCTCCACACATCACTGGCCGAGGTGAACTTCCTGTAGGCGATGGCCTCTGGGGCCGTCCATCGGACTGGGATCTTCCCACCCTGGATCCAGCAGAGGGAGGGGGAGAGAGAAAGAAAGAGAGAGACAGAGGGAGAGAGAGAAGGAGCTATGCATGATCCTTGTAATAAGCAGAACGTCACAAGCCACTAACTTTTCAGCAGAATTTTCAGAAACAGCAGAAAACCCTGAATATACATCTATGTAAGCATTATTTTGAAGTTAAATTTAATTAAGTGTCGTATTCTGAATGAATGCCAGAAAAATCCACAGATGGAATGAAACTGACCAGTTTCAGTAGGTAAGTAACAGTCTTTCAGATCCCTGTGTCACATCCGGTCCACATCCCACTTCACAGATTACTTGCCTCCAAACCTCGTCGCCAGCCCAGTCATCCCCATCGCCATGCCCACCATCAAGTAATCTCATTTTAACCAATCACACCTGCTCTAAATCAAGCTCCTATCAAGCAATCTGTTTTATAGGGGTCTCTGCTTCTTTTCTTGGTGTTTGGTCATGATCATTTTATGATGTGGATCATTTTAGATGTGGCTCTGTTTAGATCAGTGGATTGTTGTTTGGGTTCTTCTAGAATGGGATTTAAACAAAAACCTGGTCATGGCCTAAAACCCATAGTTAAACATGCCCTTTTGGAACATTTAAAGAGCAAAGTCAGGTGTTTCTAAACATGTTTGTTTCCTTTAATGTCCTGTGGGGACTTTATTTCTGGGGGTGTGAATTTACTTTGGCAGCCTGGTGAAGGCTGAGGCAGACCCTGGTGTGACAGGCATGATTTGGACCTGCTCTGCTCCTACGTTTCACTCCCAGAATACCTCAGGCAGCACGGCAGGGTGACAGGTGCAAGACTCTGACAGGTGTAATGCTAAGATCAGCCAATGGGAAAATGCAGCAGCCTGTCCGTTGGGTGCACCCTACATCCGCACCCTATAAGGCCCTCCTTCAGACCATCCTCAAAATGCATTTCCCCCTGTAGTATGGGCTCTGCTCCCAAATCATTTTCTGAACGAGGTGGATCTGCTAATATTAAAATATTCCCAGTGATGTATGTTGACTGTCCTCACTAGCTGCTCATAGTGCTTCACCGTAACAGTACCCCTCAGGCCCTCGACCAGCATACTACCCTCATTACTGCTAAAAATCCCTTTAAAACAGCAGTCTCCCATCCCCCCTCCCCCGTTGTCCATTCCCTTATGGTTCTGGGATTTATTATTTTCAAGGTGGGGGGTGGTGCCAGTTTGCTTTTGGTAATTTTAGGGAAGGGCTGCCTGTCCTGTAATGAATTATTAAATTTTACAGCGTTGTTGTTTTTGTTTATGAGGGTTTATGGGATGGGGAGGGGCAGGGGTACAGCCCCTCCCCCCTGCCACAAGGGAGAGAGAGTGTGGAAAACAAGGTGTTTCTGAGACACGCAACATTCCCCAGACCTGCTCGGTAGAGGGACTCAGGCTATAATTACTGTGGGGGCAGATTCCAGCTTTATGATGAATGATGAAGAAAGCAGCCCTGAACTCCCCCCGCCCCCACCCCCCATGGAAGACTGGCACACAGAGGAATGTTGACAAAACAAAAGCCTGTCTAGTTTTTCCCAAAACTATGAACGCTGGGGTGTCCGTCCCCGATTGGTGAGGCTGTACCCATGACACACACATGCTTTTGGGTGTATAAACTAGGGGGCGCTATGGAGTACTGGGAGTGGGACGGGGGGCAGGGACAGAATCAGTGGCACCCTCCTATGTGAGCTCTGGGAACCAGCTACAAAATCCGATGGATTCCACACTGGGTTGGGAGCGTGCTGGATTCAAACCGTCTCCAGAAGGAAGCCGCGGGCTGGTCAGGCCATGAAGAGCCAGTCGCTCATGCAGGCCGGACAGCACGGAGGCAGCGGGACATCCATCACTTTGAGGCAGGCCTCCCACAGGGTCACTTTTTAAACCGTTTGTTCTGACAGCATTGAAAACGAAGGGAATGCGGAAGGCCGGCTGGCTAGTTTCACTGGGGGAGAGGAGAGAGGCCTCAGCCTCAGCCACTGGAGTAGTTTATCCTAAGCAGCAGTCACAGGGATGGGAACAGGGAGAGGTATGGAGCCAGGAAGGGGCATTAAAGGAAGGATGACGTGACCTCCACGGGGCGTGCTGTCTTAGGGTCACAGAAATGGAGTCACAGGCTCCATCAAGGCCATGAATGAGAAATGCCTTAAGAATGGAGGCAAGAAAGAGGCAAGTCATTCCTGGGAAGTAGCAGTGATGTAAATCAGACCTCATGGGTGTGATTTAATTCCCCTGCATCCTCCTGACCCCCAAACCCCTTAATCGCCCGCCACTTAGATTTACTCCCCCCTTTTGCCTCCCCAGACCAACCGAGGTAGGAGGGGGTCAGACTCAGCAATTAATTAATGAAGTAGCCTGTGAACCTTGAGTCACTTTAGAGATTTCTTGCTGGGTTAACCCTGAGTCCCCAGATTCTGTGGAGGGTGCATGTTGGTTCCTGGGGGAAGGGGGGGGGTTGATACTCTTTATAAGGATGGAGTCACCGTTCCACTCCCGCCATAAGACGGTACCTAGCCCCGCCTACACAGAACACCAAAGTCGACCCAGTGACTCACCAGGGAGCTGGTGTAGGTGGGGTCAGACGTGTCGTCCTGTAAGTAGCGCGACAGCCCAAAGTCGGACACCTTGCACACCAGGTTGCTGTTAACCAAGATGTTTCTGGCAGCCAGGTCTCGGTGCACGTAGTTCATCTCGGAGAGGTACTTCATCCCAGCCGCCATTCCGCGCAGCATGCCCACCAGCTGGATCACCGTGAACTTCCCGTCATTCTGCTGCAAGGCGCGAGTCAATTATTTATCATGATTTTTCTTAATTTCCAAAAAAGACCAGCAGAGGGCAGAGTACTTAAATGCAGCTGTGATCTGAAGGTCCCATTGACCACCGTATTCTATTGTACAATCATCATTTTTAATTTCCAAAAAATACCAGCAGAGGGCAGAGTAGTTAAGGGTGGCCACACATATGACTGAAAGCTTGCAGAGCTTCTTCCTTGTTGGTAGTATCTGGTCAAGCTTGTTCCCTAACTACCCCCCTAACCCTCCAGCTATTGTATGAGTTTGAAAGAAAATGCGCCTTGAGTGAAAATTTTAGTGAACGACGTGTTTATTAAAGCGGTGGGTTTATTCAGAGCCACATTAGATTAACTACCTTTGCTTTCAAAAGCACTGACCCGAGAAGCTGAGAAAGGAACTCATGCAGCCGAACAAAACCCATGTGCCCCCTGGGATTTGAACCCACAACCTCCGCAGCTGATGAGTTATGGCAGGCCTTATTGCTTATTGCACAGGTTACCTTAAAACAATCCTCTGGCAGAGCACATTGCTAGTTCAGCGAGATGCAGACACATTGTGCATCTAATGGTATGCTGGGGATAATTTTTTAAGGTGGGATGGGTTTAATTTCAGCAGCACATACATTTTCCACCGGCAATGCAAACCTCTTGCCGCGTAGTGCGCCTTTCTGCACATTTTTTCAGGAAAAAGAGGAATAATCGCATGGTTTCAGGGTCGTGAAACCAGCAGCTGGTTTAAGGTTAGACGGGGAAATTTATTTTTCTCCCCCAGATATACGCTCCATCTTAAATTTTACCAACATTTACATCCAAGGCCTCCCATTTTGGGAAAATCAAGATATCCGCAGTCATAAATTACAGCGGGAAGGTTCTCTCAGAGATGGGCCTTATTTCAAATATGTAATTAATTTCCATTGCTTGTCAGCGTCAGACTGCAGCCCTGTGACCCTGATCAGCATAAGTGGGTGGAAGACGGATGGATGGATGGATGGATTTTCCTGGCTCATTA